GCTGTTTTTGTTGTTGTTTTGGCCTTAATACCAAAACGATTTTATGTTTTTTTTTTCCATATGGATAATTATATTGGGTAAGTGTGTGCCCATTCCGTTAAAAGGCAATATCGTTGGATGGCCGTTCAAATTGTCATACAGCTTGCGTGTGTGTGTGTGTGTGTGTGTGTGTGTGTGTGTGTGTGTGTATTTCGGAAACCGATTTTATGCAAAGTTTGCATAGAATCTTCAAGGCTACGTATTTATATGTGATTGTATGAGTGCTTTTTTGACTTGACGTAAAGCACACCACTTTCAATTTGGCTGTCAATTCTACCAAAGATTGCAGTCAAGTAGAATGACTTTCTAACGAACGGGCAAAACAACACACATAAAAAAATATTGTTCAATTGACCGAAAAATACTGAAATTTACTTCATAACGATGGCATAAATAATTTTCATGCAATAATAAAGCAAGGAATTTACGCTAGAGAAGCAAAAGCACGAAAAAAAGAGCGCGCGCACGTTGACGTTATTTCCTTCTTCCAATGTTTTTCTTCCTTGCGTCGGCAAAAGGAAACAGTCTAATGTTGTTGAGTTTTTTTTTATGGTTTGTTACATCTCTTGCTCGCTCGCTTGCTCGTTCCGAATTTCCATGATGAATGGGTGTCAAGTTTCCATTTGTAGAAAGCTTTCAAAGATTGGTCTCTCGTTTCGCTATCACCATAAATTATCGTCAAATTTGGGGTGAATACCGAAAAGACTTTATGCGCAATGCACACTTTACTTGGAGCCTTTTTTCTCTTCTCGACAGGCAAAAGAAATGTTCAACAATTTATGCTTTAAATTGGCTGCATTGGAAAAGTTGCACCAATTTTATGCGGTTGACGTTGCATAGTTTTCGTTCGCAGAGTGAAAAATTACACAAATCACCGCAGTTCACAAGTTTAGATGATCTGTTGACATTCGAATTTGCGCAATAATACGTGTGCTGCTGCAGCTGTGAATTGTCTGTGTTGAAAACTTACAGCTTGACATTTCCTTTGGTGCAATTTGTACATTTTATATGATGGCAATGAAATGAATCCACATTGTACTGTGGTTCACTTCGCGCCTTGCCTCGTTCAATCGCCCTCAACAAAGCTTGTTGGTTAATTGGTTCCGAAGCTCACACTCTATCTTCCTCTGTTTGACTCATTTTATTCATGCTTTTGTTTACAATGTGTTGTTTTTCTTTCCCATTTGTTAATTGGTTTTTAATTGGATGGTGTATGTATTGCAACGCTAAAAATATTGAATGACCAAATATAGAATCGGTCGGTCGCTTCGGTTTCGGTCGCAATATTGACAATGGGAATGAAAATCGATAATTCGTTACAACACCAACCGCATCAGCAATCGATTCTCATTGCTTTTTTTCCCGTCGCAGCCAATTGTGCCGACGCCAACATCAGCACAGCGGTTCGTGACTAAGGAATCGATACGCCGAAGGCATACATACGTCCACAATAACGCCCTAACTGACATTCTATGCCGCGGTAAACAGTTAGCGAGAGAGAGAGAGAGAAAATTGTATGTGTTTTTCACAGATACATCGGACTAAAATTAAATATTTTGATAAATTTACAGCAAAACCCCAGAGACGAACAGACTAGGAAGTAATCAGTTGATTGTTGACAAACATTTCATTGTACAGTGAAATTACATTACAATTATGGCTGTCATTGTGGGTTTGGTATAGGACATGCACTTGTTTGTCGCTGCCTGATGAAATTATATGCAGGTTTTGATTACGATTTTTTTCTTTCACTTGTCCTTTGGCAGAAAAAAAGAAGGAAAAACCAATTTTCAAAATTCAGACGCAATAATAATCGATCGGAAATGATACAAAATACCTGAAAAAAACATTCTAAAATATTACAATATAGCCAGGCCAAGTGCCTAATATAAAAAATTTATAGCCCCATGATGCGATTGAGCTTATCATCTAACACCTCTCGTTGAAAATCCAGTCATCGTCACTGTAATGTAGTAGTAGCACAAACATTGAATGACGCATGTTCCAATGAAATTCTCTTTCATCAATAATTCCATGGTAACTTCTTATTCATTCATTACAAAGTGTTTGGCCTGCGAAAACACTTGAATTTCAACGGTATATCGCTTTCTCCTCGAAAGCATAATAAAAATTGCAGATGAAAGGACGAGAGCGAGGCGAACGCCTTCGATTGGCTTCGAAACGAACACAAAAAAAATGTTCGCATTAAACGATTATAATTATCTGAGCTGATAAATATTTCGATGAAAACGACGGCTGAACTCTCGAAAACATTTAAGCTGTTCAATTAGTCTCAGATTCCAATTCGTTTTCATTTGCTCCAATGCAACGGTAGAACCAATCGAGTTGGCTACTATGTTGCCAACGTATTTATGTTGCAAATGCCTCAATTAGTATGCTATTGTTGCGCATCGGAGCCTCTAAATCGAAAATAATTCCATTCGGATTAAAATAATAATGGAAATCCCATCTTCAATGCTCTTTGTCTGTGAGTCTCTGTGTGTGTTTTTGCTTCATCACATCATTTACACAACGCACGAAACAATTCATTGAGAGGGTCGTTGACAAAAAGAGCGGCAGAAGCCGATGCCAATGAGATGCCTCTTACTTAAAGTGTCTGAACAATACCTGAGTAGCCTCTTATCGTTTATCGCATTTCGAAAATTTTTCGCCACTTGATAAGATACCAAAACAGTCGGAATGTGCACAACATTACCTACTATTGCAACATCATTCGAAATCATTGTTTTTTTAGTAATATCATTGGCAAATCACGCACCCAACTATATGTTCTTTACATTTACTATAGTAAACGAAGAAATGCTATGGCATAACTTATTTTTAATAATTTTACTATATTGAACTTGATGCCGAGCCTATGGGCAACTTGAAAAAAAAACTACAGTTTTTAAAAGAGATGTACGATTCGAAATTCGTTATTTTTTCTTCGAATTCCGAATCACTTGAGCCGAGGAATGCTGGGCATGTGAAGGATTTCTGAGCGGATGTGCTTTATATAAACTGTATAAAATGTTCATATGCCAAAAACATGGAACCAAGTGCTTAATAAGTATTTATATTATGTTTTTTTTTTTCTTATCGGCGTTGATATCATAAAAGTTAATTCCATGTTATAAACTTCAAGTTTACTGCATCAAGCCAGTACGCACATTCAAACGCATCAGAGCTTTGCTGGTGCCATTTGGCTGCTGTATTTATATTCCCCAAGTAGTAAACACCCCAAATCATATTATTTCTGCATGAAAAAAAATTACCAAAATCGGTGTCAATTCTTTACAATCGGCAATAATTCATCATGTTTGAGATGAAGAGAAAATTTGTTGATAAATTTTTAATATTTTTACCATATTGATCTCATATATTGTAATATTCGGTGAGTGCCACTAAAAAAATATCCACACTCATCTAGTGCGTGAGACGCATGGTCACTAGGGTGTTTTCGGTATTAAATAAACAGAAAATGGTAGTTTAAGTTTGATAGAGCAGACAATTTGGAATCGATTTCATATATTTTTGTTCGGAATCAGTCCAAGATGCCACTTCCCACAAGCAAAACAAATGTTCGTCGAATTTTGAGGTTATATCACTATTCGATGAAACTAATCTGATATTTTCCACTTTTTTCGATTCAATCTCACTGCCATTTATTTTCACGTAATTTTTATTGGAATAAGTGGCCAAATAGTCGAAAATTCACACAAATTGTATTGCCTCTTTGACCGGTTCTTCAGTCATAGAAAAAACACCGACAAACTCATTTTTTTCACAGAAATTCATTCAATGAGTTTGAAATAGACGATAAATTATCTAAATGCACTAAAATATCCAATCGAACAAAACCAGGAAGGCCAAATTGCAGCAAAACTAAAACGTAAACAAAATGAGTTGTCATCATGAAATCTGGGCTTCTTTGACATTTTGAAGGGCTACCAATGCACTTGTGCGAATGAATCACAGTCAATTCGCACGCAGTGATTCGCGCAGATGTATTTTGGTCTTGTCAAACATCAAACTAAGCCCGAATTTCATAATGACAGCTCGTTTTTGTTTACGTTTTGGTTTTGCTGCAATTTGGCCTTCCTGGCTTTGTTCGATTGGATATTTTAGTGCATTTAGATAATTTGTCGTGTATTTCAAACCCATTGAATGAATTTTTGTGAAAAAAATGAGTTTGTCGGTGTTTTTTCTATGATTGAAGAACCGGTCAAAGAGGCAATACAATTTCTGTGAATTTTTGACTATTTGGCCACTTTTTCCAATGAAAATTACGTGAAAATAAATGTTTGCATTGAGAATTCATCCCTGGTAGTGAGAATGAATCGAAAAAAGTGGAAAATATCAGATAAGTTTCAGCGAATAGTGATATAACCTCAAAATTCGACGAACATTTGTTTTGCTTGTGGGAAGTGGCATCTTGGACTGATTCCGAACAAAAATATATGAAATCGATTCCAAATTCTCTGCTCTATCAAACTTAAACTACCATTTTCTGTTTATTTAATACCGAAAACACCCTAATGGTCACTCATTTAGTGAGTGAGACGCACGCGGATGAGATGAAGCAAAGCGGAAGAGAAGCGGGCAACTCCATACGAACGAACGATATAGCGCGCATACATTTCGTCACTCCGTCGTTAGAATACGGACACAAACACAAACACGTAGTACCCATTGACTCTATGTTCTAGTTGCGCGCTTCCCTTTCGCTTTGCTTCATCCCATCCGCATGCGTCTCACTCACTAAATGAGTGACCATGCGTCTCACGCACTAGATGAGTGTAGATATTTTTTTAGTGGCACTCACCGAATATTACAATGTATGATTGAACTTGATATCGCGAGAAAAAAAAACATTTTGGGCAGCAAAAAAAAGAAACAATAACAGAAGAATGGCAATAAACATGTCAATGATTGCACAAAAAGTCAAGTGTAAAACTGAATCGCGATAAGAATGAATTGCGAATAAGAATAGAATAAATACAGCTGAATCAAGTAGTCAAGGTTGACATTTCTTCGTGGCAATTTTATCCCGAAACACACATTTTAGGTGATGATAGAAGAATTTTTTTCGAAATTGAATTGAACATAGTGAAATAATTGATTTTTTGAAATTGTCTTTAAATTAAATTAATTCCGATAATTATTGGATTATAATTCAATATATATTACGCTCCACATACATTGGCTTTTTAAAAACATTAATTAATTGTTTGTATGCAGGCCAACTGGTGGTACTTAAATCATGCAGATTTTCAAAGTCATTTGTGTGGCACTGCTGTGTGTCGCAGTAATTGCACTTCCCTCGGAGAAACATGATTGCGATAGCAATTGTGAAGGTTGTGATGGCAGCTGTGGCCATAAACCCAAAAAAACTGAAGCCGAACCACCAAAATTGGAATGGTGGGAAAATGCGGTTTTTTACCAGATCTATCCGCGTTCATTCAGAGACAGCACCGGTGATGGTATTGGTGACATTAATGGTATCATCGAAAAGTTGGATTACTTGCAAGATTTGGGAATTGATGGGACATGGCTTTCGCCAATCTTTAAGGTGGGTTTTTTTCATCGTCTAACGCGAATTTAATCGTATAGTTGAAACTGAGCCAAAGTATAGCCCCAGAAAAAAAGCATTGAGTAATGTTTTTGTAATTTGTGAAGAAAAGCACGTAATAATTGAAGTTTTTCGAACAATAGAGCTATTTGTAAATGCTTCCAACTTTTTCTAAATGACTGAATAGTTCCCATTCAATTACGATAATGTTTACTTTATGTCGAACAAACATACAATTTCGTGAATTAACGTAATTATTACGTGAATGATTGATGAAATGCAATATTCGAAACGAAATGTGTGTTATTTGCTCATTTCCTTCGAATATTCAAGCTATTTTCCTTTTCTCCTTATAGTATTATTAAAAAGACATTACACAAATGATTAAGCCGTTATTGTTCCGCTCTAAACTGAAATTTTCGGTGTTTGAATCGATTTTTAATATTTTGAACATTTTTTTACATTCCAATTTTTCTAACAGAGTCCGATGAAGGATTTTGGCTATGACATTGAAGATTTCCGCGAAGTCGACCCTATGTTTGGTACATTGCAAGATTTGGAAACCCTATTCAAAGAAGCAAAAAAGAGAAACATTCGAATCATTTTGGATTTCGTGCCAAACCACACTTCGGATCAAGCGGAGTGGTTTAAAAAATCAGTGAAACGTGAAGGAAAATACACTGATTATTACATTTGGGCTGATGGCAAAGGTAAAGACGGAAAAGAGTTCCCACCAAATAATTGGGTTTCAGTTTTCTATGGCCCGCCTGGACCTATAACGAGGAACGTAAACAGTGGTATTACCACTTTTTCCGTAAGAATACTGCAATAAATATTAACGGTGAGATGTTCCGGAATAATCTTTTTTTTTATTATTTTTTGCAGTTAAAGAGCAACCGGATTTGGTAAGAAAATGTGTCAATAAATTTGGTTCGAATTGATTTGGTAAACGATGATGATGTTTATGAATAATTTGAGTTTATTTCCATTTTTCGGCAACTCAAAGAATTTCCGCAATGAAGATGTCGTTAACGATATGATCGACGTTCTGAACTTTTGGTTGGAAAAAGGTGCTAGCGGTTTCCGTGTTGATGCAACCAATAACTTGTTCGAGTGTGAAGATTTGCGTAACGAACCACTGAGCAATCATACCAACGATCCCAAATCATATGACTACTTATTGCATCACTGCACAAAAGATTTGCCAGAAGTGTATGAGGTGGTGTACAAATTCCGCGAAGTTATGGATAAATTCCGGGCGAAACATGGCGGCGAACAACCTATTTTAATGACTGAAGCATACGCAAATGCCACCGAATTTGTAAAATATTTCAAATCGGCCAATGGCACACTTGGCTCCCAGATGCCATTCAACTTTGCATTGATTAAAAACGTGACGCGGTATTCGACGGCACAAGAATTTAAAGACGAAATCGATGCGACAATTAAAAGTGTGCCCAAAGATACACGTCTTAATTGGGTCATGGGCAATCACGATAAACCACGCATTGGTTCACGATTTGGCGAACGACGGATCGATGGTCTTCTTGCTTTGGTCATGACATTGCCTGGCATTGCCGTGACATACAACGTATGTAATTGGCTCACATTCGCTGTGGCCGCCACATGAAAAAATCCACCCAGCGAATACAAACACATTTAATTTTCCATTTGAATTTTTGCAGGGCGAGGAAATTGGAATGTTAGATAATCGAGCAATTTCATATTCCGACACAAAGGATTCCGCAGCCTGTAACCTCGACGCTGCAACCGGAGATTGGATCCAAGAATCACGCGACCCAGAACGTAAGAGCATTTTTACATTTACATTTTCGCCTCTTTTTTTTCTCTCTATATCGAGCCATTGTTTCGGGTGGCAAAACGTGCTAAAAATAATGAAAATATCACTCCACTAACAACGACGAAGACGATGGTCATAGAAAAAAAATCTATGAAAAATTAATGTGTAATACATTTATTTTCACTTCAGGTACGCCATTCCAATGGAGTAAAGAGAAATTCGCTGGATTTATGCCAGAAAATGCAACGGAAAATCCATGGTTACCAATTCATCCCAACTATCGTGAGGTGAATGTTGCATTACAAAAAGAGATTCCACGCAGCATATTAAACTACTACAAGCAATTGGTGCAGCTTCGCAAGGAGAACACCTTCACGTATGGTTCATTCGAATCGAGGGTTATTAATGAAAATGTGTTCAGTTATGTGAGGTAAGTAAAGAAAAAAATTTATCACCTCAATTGATTGATACGAAAGTGTGCCACACGTCAAAGCCATATAAAGATGTTGTGGATAAAGTCGAATGGTAAATAATATTATGTTTGTTGGGTAATTCATTATATTTCAGAGCACTTAACGAGTCTGACACATACGTGGTTCTTATCAATTTCGGTGCACGTGAAGAACAAATTGATATCAGTGAAAATTTGGCCGAACAACTGGAAATAGTAGCTGTGGGCAGTGACTCATGTTACAAACAAAGGTATAGATATCGACTCCCCCAAAAAGCGAAAAAATGCTTTCCCATCACTTGTTCAAACACACCATCCATATTTTGATATCGGTCGGTCGCAGCAAATTGGAAACGAAACACGCAAAAACACAATAGCAAATGGAGCTTGAGTCTGTCACAACCGACCGATGAAGCAAAATAAAAACACCATCGACAATGCACGACAAAATATGACCAATCTATTTTCGGAGATGGCAAGAGAGAGTGTCATTCACTTCATTTTTAATTTTCTCTTTTGTTTTCATCCGTTTTTATTTTCCGTTTTTGGAATTGTGTGTGTGTGAGTGTTTTCAATCGATTTCCATTTATTTTATGCTGCTGCCGATCGAATCGTTACTTTATTTATCGATGTCTGTTTGTATTTTGGTTCGTTTACTTTTCTTCGACGATGAAAATGATGAAAATAAGGGGGTTTGAAATGATATGACCTATTTTGCTTTCAGGTTGCTCCTTTTTTTTCTATCGTTTTTTCGGGAATGAAAACAACTTGCTCGTTTTCTTATACGTGTTTTTGTTTTTCTATTTATTTCCAGTGAAAAAGTAAAAGCGAAGGAAGTCATTTTACGAAAATATGATACAATTATTCTGAAAGCAGCTCATGTACATGAAAATAGCAAAGGCGTTGGGTCATCAGTCATCGCAAACATCGCATTAACGTTTGGCTTGTTCGTCGCATCGACTGCACGTTTTATTTTCTAAATGCGGTGTGCGCTAATTAATTGAGCAATTAGCGAGATGTACGTTGTTTTAGTTGTTCATTTTTGTTTGTTTGTCTGATCGCGTTCTGTAATGTTCAAGCAGTTTTTATTTTATTGTCCATATTAAGTCAAACAATCGTGTCTTTCAAGACATTTTTCATTAAAGCACCCTTTTTTTTCTTTGTTAGTTGATAGACAAATTCATGTTCCATTTATAGATAGAGTTAATTATTTATAAGAAAATACTCGAAGAAAAAAGAATGTTTTTTTTCTGTTTGACGGTGTGAAAATGGAATAATGATATGAAAAGTGTGAACAAATAAAAGAATTTTAATAAATGACGTATGTGGTTATGAAATGATTTGCCGAAGTAGCATAAAAAATAAGTAATTGGACGATTTATTTCCATAATTTGGTTTGGCATTTGATGATAGTAATGATTTAAAAAAAAACACTCGTTGAACCAGCATTGAGTTTTTAAATCGTAACGTTCATCAAAGTGTAATGTTATTCTAGTCGTTTCGTTCGTTTTTCAAAACTACCTTTGGAACATTTCCAAGGAACCGCCTTCCTTATTCGCTCCGAACGAAAAAATTCTATCTTAGACAAATCGTTTCGAGAGAAGAAAAAAGCACGTAATCGCTCCCAATGAAACGTAACGAGATGAAGAAAAGGTAGAAAAAAGAACAAACTCCCACAAAGTGAAGTAAAGTTTGCATTTTCAATTCAACTGATTAACGTTTTTAAAACGCTGCAAGTCGTGTTCGATTCACCGGTTTGCCGTTTTTTTCTTCTTCGCCTCTTAAAACATGTAGTAGTTCTTTTTAACCGTATTTCTCTTTTTCACTTCCTTTTGATGGAGTGTTTTACCGTTTAGTTTCATAGACACTGAATGCACAAATTGGATTCTTATTTGTTTTTTTTTTTGTGTGTAGCTTACCTATGACGTAGTTGTATCCATCCAGTGTAAGAACACATTTACGTGTCGTTATCGCTGTGCTTGATGGTGACGTTGATGAGCAACTGGGTGATTGATGTCGAAACGAAGATCGAGTTTGTGACGATCGGTTTGCGACAACATTTAACGCTGGTAAAACTCGTGATCCGCCCGGATCCGATTGGCATTTATGCACTAAATCTCTTGCACGTGATATGCATTTGGAGGTGATAGTACGTTTGTAGCTGCCATCATTGCGCCGAAGCGCATAGTCTTTTGTGCAAAGCTCATCGGTGGCGGTAGTGGTGTTGACGACGATGCCAGTGGCCGAAAATGCTTTGTCACACTTGGTTTTGCGATTGTCATCCATGTGGGTAATTGTTTGGCCATCGTCATCGCAGCTCGAATGTGATCCATCATTACTTTTTGTAATGGTTGGTGTGCCGACAGCCCCTGTAGCTGTACTAGCAGCAACAACCGCAGCCGCTGCCACTGTATTTATATTTTCATCACTAATCGAATTATCCATAACTTTGAACAAGCGTATGTTTACACAAAACCTGAACGGGAATTTCTCCCCACAATGACAACGCAGACGTTGGAGATACTGATAGAAAGAGAAGGAGAGAGAGAGAGAGAGAGAGAGAGATACAGTGTGCGTGTGAAAACTTCCGTTCCTTATTGCTATTAGCACCCAGTTTGCAGCATGATCTTTTTTCTTTCTCTCTCGCTAACACACTCTCCGTTTATTTGTATTTTTCTGCCGTTTCTTTGGCAAATCAATGGAAATTAGATGAAATCAAATAGTGTATAAAATGGGAATATAAATGGCTTCCTTGTTACTTGTTCTGTGACTTGGCAGTTTTTCGTGTGTTTTATTCGAATGTCTCAGCCACTGGATCGGATTTTTATGATGTTGGACATGTTTATCTTAAATATCCGAATGACTTAGTACGTGATATTTGGATTTACGGTCGGTTTGTGTTCACTCTTGTGCTACAGATAGAGAGGATGGTTGTTGATTTAATTTTCTCTTTATCACTCTCTCTCTCTTTTGTCGCTGTCCGCTCGCTTGTATTCGATTAACGTCCCATTTATTGTAAAAGTTTTTCCACGAACTTTTCACATTTTTCTTCTATCATGACGATACTTTTTCTGTTCCGTTGTTGTTTTCTGTTTTTCTATTCACTCACACAAACATTTGTGTTTCACTCGATTATATAAATTATTGTGTGTTTTCTTTTTTTTTATAAATTCGACGCGTTTTTCATTCTTCTCTATCTGTTCAAATTATTATTATTTCATTTTGTTCATTGTTGTTATTCACTTAATTTGATATCAGCTTTTGTTTAGCTGGGCTTTTTTTTCTCTGTGTGCGTTGAACATTTTTTTTCCTCCTTCTTTTCATAACATTCTTTGTTGCTCGAGGGATGAAATACGAATGATTGTGTTCTTAGGTCTTCTTTCAAACAAATTTAATTTGTTGAAAATAACAAAATTGTCTATAAATCACCAGTAAAATTGGTCCCCTTTTTCTCTTGCTCTTCCACACGCTTGACCTAATTTCACTTTATTTCTATTTTTATTCTTGTTGCTGTTGTACCAATCGAAAAGAACCAACAGTGAGTAGATGTGAAGCTGCAAAAGTGAGTTTTCTTCTTTACGATACGCTACGACTTTTCTTTTTCTCCGTATGGCGAATAGAAATCATCAGGTCACAATGATATCTGATCGAACGGAAAAAAGATGTTAATGTGTTTTCAGTATTGTTGTCACGTTGTTTGCCATTTTATCATGGCCCCAGGCACGTTGACCGAGAGATCGACACCGTATATCTGCGTTTTGTCGGCCGCCGCACACTGATTCAGAAACATGAAATTTTAATTGATTGGGTCAGTTCAAATTTCTTGAAAAACATCCATCGCATATAATCTGTTTACACTTTGTCCACAAGATGACGGTTATGTGTATGTGTGTTTCTTAAAATTCGACCTTAGCTTTGGTTTACATAGAATTTACATTTTCCCTGCTGAGTTTTTCATTCGTTTGGGCACTTTGCGTGCTTTTCGTTCGATTGTCTGTCTCGACGCAATACCGTATTGGCACCGAATTTTCGATTGGCACCCTCTGTTTTGGTGCGATTGTATCAATTGATTTCGTTTTGTGTCGAATGAATATTGATGCGGATTAATCCAAAACAATAAAATGGCCTTAAATTGGCCAATAACTCAGTTTTAATTTTGCAATAAACTGTGTCGTGTGAAACGGTTTTTTCTGTTTGAAATATATCAGTTGCTTTTCATGTGAATTGTCTGCAGTGTGTGTGTATATTCCATTGAACGAGGGTGACGACGGCAGGTGCGGGCGGAGTTTTGGAAAAAATTTCGCATTTTGCGCAATAAAAATATTGTTGGTAGGAAATTTGTGTTCGATAAACAAAAAAATTGCGCGTAACTGCCATGGAATAGTGTGCCGCAACCCTTCGAGCGTCAGGTACATACACACCGAATGTGTGTGAATGAAAGAAGCTACTGCATGTGGAAAAAAGCAGAGAATGTATTTGGCTAATGTCAGCTAGCCAACTGAAAACATTCTGGCTGGCTCAGCGGCTGAATTCTATGCGTTGCGTTTTTTCATCGCATCTGCAGTACAGAAATCATATATATGGGGATTTTTGTTTTGTTTATTTTTTGTTGTTTATAAACAAATTTGCCTATCTTTTTGCATTATCACTGTACATAGTATATGTCCATAAGAAATGTGCAGAGGCAATGCAAAAAGATAGGCCGATTTGTTTACAAACGACAAAAAATAAACAAAACAAAAATCCCCATAACTAATGTATTGGCAATGTAAAAATAAATGGCGAACATTTTACATTTCTTATGAGCTGTATACTATGTTCAGTGAAATAGGCAGACTTGTTGACAAATAACGGTACATGAACAAAACAAACATCTCCATATATATGATTTCTGTACTACAGATTGCGATGAAAAAACGCAACGCATAGAATTCAGCCGCTGAACCAGCCAGAATGTTTTCAGTTAGCTAGCTGACATTAGCCAAATACATTGTCTGGAAAAAAGTATAAAATTTATAATCACTTTCATATTTTTGGGCGCATGATGAATGGCAGAATGGCGATGAATAGATGAAGATATATTTTTATTTTATTTCATTTTCTTCTTATGTTGCGTCGTGTATTTTTCCCCTCTCTTGCCTTTTCTATTGCGCTGAATCATCGCGTTCCACATTCAATGTCTTACTTTTTTTTCTTTCAACTTTAGCGCCCGCTTTGAAATTGTAGCAAAAGTCAAACCATAGACAATCAGACGAGTTGTTGAAGGTATAGTACGCGTATTCAAAATGAGAACTATGTGTAGCATTTGCTATTCAGTGGGATAAATGCGAAGCGCAAATGTTATGCGTATTGTATGTCCGATGGGGTGGAGGGAGAGCAGAGGCGACCTTTTCATTTGGATTCAATGGATCGTTTTTCTTCGTGTCGCTTTTTTTCTGCTTTCTTTTCATCGGAGAGGGTATTCATTTTCCCTACGCATATATTTTGCGTTTTCTTACAATCAACCATTCCAGTGACTTCTGCGAATAACAAAAGAAAATTAGGAATCCAAAATTGGGTGCACAAATCGGTTTTTTCTTTCTCTTCTCTTTTTTTCGTCGCTATGGAATAAGAGATGGGCAACAAAAAACTGCGGACAGATCAAACGATTAATGAAAACCACAAAAGCTTTGGACGAATCAAAAAAGGAAACACTCGAAATGGAAAATGCCGAATTTTCGCATTTTGTTTGTCAATTCATTAAATTTGTTCATCTGTTTTGTTTGTCATTTTATTAGCTCGACGCGTTTGCAAATCGTTTTTTTTTGTGTATGTGTATAATTATTATAGAAAAAAACAGCTTCGAGTAGCTTCTGATGTTGGCGAGAGAATGCTGTCATTTTTTTGCTGTTGCTTCTGCGTTTCAAATGACGTCAAACAGAAATGTTATGTGATATGACGATTTGGCGTCGAAAATGTCATGATTGCCACGCACAGAGAGCAAATATCCCATATATAACTATGCTTATTTGAGTATTCATTGAATCGGTTGGAGGAGTTTAACGATTGCCGAAATAATTCCGCTGATAATATTCGGTGTTTTGACGCCAAAAGGGCTGTGTTTTTTTTTTCTTCCTTCTTTTTTTTCTCCCTCTTCGTAAATTGGGTTTGAAGGTTCACTCACTCAGCGCGCTATAATTCATGCGGATAAAAGTTCGCAAACACACTAATCGTTTCGAGATCACTGAATATTCCAGTTTTAATGTATTTTCCAAATAAAATGGAAATGTGCCATTCAGCGACCACATAAACGACACACAAAATGTGCATCGCATAAGCAAACAAACGAAAATGGATCGTGATTCGCGGAAACTTTTTCCATTCCTTTTGGAAAATTGACAAACTTTGCGGTTAACAAGTTTCTCTTACATTTGCGAGTGTGTGAGTGTGAGGAGAGAGAGAGAGAGAGACAAAAAAAGAGACAGAGTTTTGTTATTAAAGACAAAAGCAATCATGAAGTAATATTAAATTGCGGTTCAATGTTTCGCGTTCACTCCTCATTCTTCCTCCCTTTTTTCGTTGGTCTGTTTGTTTTTTATTTTCATTTTATTTTGTGTGTCACTAGCGCGTCATTTCACCTTAGAAGCATTGCAAACAACACATCAACTTGCTGAGCATATCATTGAAAAAAAAATAGCATGCAAACTGGCCATCAGCAAAAAAGAACGAAAAAAAGTGTTTTTTTCAATTTCATCCTGAATAAGAAAAAAACTGCCCAGCGACGATATCATTTCAAATTGGCTGCTGAATTTTTATATTTTCCGCTGTTGCTGTTATTTTGTTCATTCCGTGTTTATTATGTCATCGTGTTTATCTATCTAAAATCATCATAGCCATGGCAGCACTGATGAAGACCTTCTCAAGCTCATTTTTTTTTCATAAGAGACGCGTTTTTCTTGTTACTTATCATTGAAGAGGAGAAAAAAACAACAGCAACAACAGCAGCAGCAGCAACTCACAACCATTTCCCTATAGCAACACATACACACACAAATACGTTCAAATAACAAGAACATTCAAACTGCATCGTCATCAAATTGAATGAAATTCAAAACAACGAAAAAAATGGTATGAAATGGTGTCAGTTTGAAGAGTTTCCATTAAAAATGTTCCGTTGATTTTTCCCATCGAAATTAATAAATTCGTTGATAGCGCTGCGGCCCACCAGCTGGTGCACGGTATGGAATTTTACATGCTCACAGCGGGCATCATTCACAAATACTGTCGTCATTCATCCGTCGAAAGAACACAGCAACTAAAGAATGAGAAAAAAACAACACACATCACGGTAACATGGGCACTCTTTGCACCTTGCATTGTTGTATAACCGTAATCAATTTTACAAGTTTATAATTGGACATTAATACAAAGTTAACACCAATTTTATCCATATGAATGACAAAATCTACACACATTAAATATACTTGTATAAATACGACGTTGCGACCAATTTTTTTTTCCATCACTGATTAGTTAATTGTATATCATTGCGTTCACTTTCCGAAAATATTGTTGAGAAATAGAGAGAATGAACAACAAAAACCTGTCGCCACACAAAGTTCCACAAAATTGAAAACGCTACAACATTTGATGCCAATTTAATAACCACATATATGTTAAAGTTGCACAATCATCAAATACTCAAGAGGTACTGATACATTTCCAGTCGTAAATTGATGTTTAATATATCGGCGTTGCTGATTTTATTTTTTTTTTCTTGCTCTAACTCGAATTCTCGTTCGATCCAAAGAACACTTCTCCTCTCGCAATCATTAACATTTGATCTTACGCGCTCTTGGCGCGTATGTTTTTTCTTTCCTCTCTCTCTCTCTCTCTCTGTCTCTCTCTCTCTCTCTCTCGTATAATACATTTAAATGACCGTAGAGCCAATAAATGGATTTTAATGTGCTAAAAACTATTTTCAACACGTTGATTTCAAAATAAACACATAAAAATTGAATGACACTGACAGATGAAACACAAAATAGATGTGTATGATACAGAAAACAAAAAACAACCGATTAAACACACAGTATAGACAGATATATCTAGATATTTATTTTGATTTGGCAAAGAAAAGTCAGACGTAAGACATTGAACACGATTCGATGAATTGAAAACGGGAATAACGTGAACGCAACCGACGATACGACAGCACAGAACACATAACTGGAAGACCAGTTAAACAAGATCGATTTTTTTTATTTCGTCGGTTTCATTATTTTTCTTTGTTTTATTTTTTTTTTTTTTTTTCAAGCATGTCCAACGGTCACACGACATTAATATTAATTTTTCGATCACTTTCTCATCATATCACATGATGGTATTTTCCGAAGTTATCTCATTTTTGCTTTCTCTTTCTCTCTCACTCTCTCGTTCTACGTTCCGTACTTCTACTTTTATCAAAATCATTTTTCCGTTCGTAGCCAAAAGTTGATTGAATTGATTCTTTGCTATCAATTAATTTGATTGATTCTTGTGCAAACCGAACGCGTGTGTACGCACGCTAGCTCATTTAAGTCAATGCAACATTCATCACTTCGGTTCATCGGTGATTTGAACGTAAGAGAAGAGGGACGAAGGGAGAAACGAAAAGGAGAGCAGCTGAGAACGAAAAATGTAACAATAATTCCAGTAAAACAGAAGCAATATGATCCATGTGTAAGATGTTAAGTAATAACGTAAGTTTTTCAGTATGTTTCATTAATAACTGATTATCATTGTAACCAGTTTTTCACTCTTGGCATGGGCACTCTAGCGTGAGCACGATAACACTCTATCTCTCACACTCCGATAGTGAGAGATATACATCATTCAAAATGCTTAATATAGAGTTATGTATCGAAACGCACAACTCTTGCCACTTTCATACACAGTATCTATACTATCGATTTAGGCTAAAGTGTGTATTTTCGCCAAAAGTTTTTCATTTCAACGACGACAACGACGACGACGATGATGAGCACAACACACAAAACTTTCTATCGCTTCCACATTTACCACTTAATCTCACGGTTTGTCGGGTATCGAGTATATTCTTGCTGTCGCGGCGCTTAAACACACAATGCAACGAGTTTAGTTTCGCTTCGGTTATAGCAGAGAAGCGAATGTAAAGAAACGAGAAAAAAAAATTATATGTAGAGAAAAAGTTTTCGTTTGAGCCGGAGATAAACTCCCAACAAAAACTACCGACACACAGAGTCAATTACATTTGTGTTGTGCGAGACCAACTTTGGTGCAAAATTGGATGCGTGAAAGTATCAGAACGGACGATGTGAACGAGCGTAAAGGAGCAATAGAGCATAGGGAGCACGCGCTCGTTCGTTTGTGAGCGCCTTCTCTCACTCACCGCCACCGTCATTGTTGTTGTCATCGTCATCGTCGACGCCGTTTCCCATCTATTTCATCTCGTATTAATAGTAATATATTCTGTTTTATTATTAAGCGTTATAAGATATGTGTGACTGATAT